TGGGTTTAATGAAGATGGCCTTGTTCCCCGCGCAATTGTAACGTCCGAAGGCCTTTCGGAGTGCTTGCTTTAACACACCTTTTCCATTCGAGCCACTATTACCGTTCATGATGACAAACAGCTCTTCCAGCGTCTCTTCGGTAAGACCATAGCCAAGGAACATCTGGAGCCACTCGATGGTCCTTGGGGGAAGAATATCCATCAAGAACGTTCGGAACTTGGCAGTAGAACGTGCGGACGCTCCCCGCACATATCTGGTTGTCTGGTTAATGCACAAGTTCTGAGGACGATGGGGGAGCAGGGCACCAGTTTGGAGATCGATCAACCCGTTCGGAGCATTTGCAACTGTGGGATCTTGATCGAATTTGTCGAGAAGACCATTCACATGCAGCTCTATAACAACAGAGTGCAAGCACTTGCGCACGTCAGCAACGTCTTGGACGTTGATCCTTCCAAAACTTGGCATGATCTTGTCAAGCTCCTTTGCGCACGTCTCCATGGCCATCTTGATCTTCCTCATCTGCTTGGGGTTGACCTGATCGGGGTCGGGAGGCTTTGGGACACCGTCAACCACAAATCCCTCTAACTCGGGACGGCTGGCGTACAAAGTGCCCAAACACCTCTCTCTTTGCCTATCATACCATGCCAAGAGACAACCCATCTGGCTGATAAAGACGCTTGAAACCAGGTTCGAGGTGTCTTGTACCCACGAAGTCCCGTCCCAAACAAAAAAGAGTTGATCTCGACTCCTTTCTGCTTCGTTGGTGGTCACGAGAATCCGACCCTCGATCATGTAAAGATACGCAAAGAGGCGTCCAAGGTTCGCATATGCCTGGGGTGCCGCGTGCTTCTTTACTATCTGAAGAAGCAAGTCCTGAGTCTCTTGGCTTCCTCTTGTGTACCGCGTGATCACGTGCATGTCGTCGTATTGATCAACCGGCCCTGTTGTAGCATCTTGCAAGGCAGCCTTCAGGTTCTCTAAGACCCCCAGCTTTCTGGCCGGCTTGCGCGAGCACTCGTTGCCATGACAACGATAGAACACGATGCGATCTCTCTTGAGCAGGTTGAAGTTGTTGCTACCGGAATGCTGGTAACCAAAGAAGCATCTTCGTGGTCCGTGTGTTCGAAAGCAATAGTAAGTACCGTAGAGCCCGTGCGACAGCGAGCTTGCATAGGTGCTCGTTGAATCACCAGCATTTTCTGACAGCAACCTTGAGAGTTTCTGCCAGCAACAGTCCCTTTCCGTGTTGTGATTCCAAACTTGGACCCGAGCGACTCTCCTTTAAGCTTGGACTTCCCACACGTCCTGTTATGGGTGCATCAATTGGTGCTCCCAGATCCTTGCCTCCTTCCTCCTCTTCAATCGATGGCCCACTATGACCCGCACGATTGTTGACCAATTTCGCGAGCCAGGTGGGCATATCATGGCACGCTTCATAGCTGGGAGGTCCATTTATCCATTCATACGTTGCAAGCTTGCCGTAAGCAATCGAGTAGCTTGTTGGTGAAGCGAACACGACACCACCAATTCCTCTTCCATCAACGCAAAACGTCTCGTCGTCGACCTTGAGACCCTGAAAATTTCGTCTCCACGTGAGACCTGGAGAGTCGAGCTTGAAGTACAAGTGCAACCCACCAGAGCCGGTCCTTGCTTTCAGTGTCTCCGGCTCCCCGTGGATCTCAACAAGTTGCTGCCAGAGCTCGATCCCTGGTCGCTTACCCCCCTTTGCAGCTACATCAACGTCAATCACATACACTCCACTGACTCCCGCAAGTATCGCAAGCCCGTTTGCATCCCGTTTCTCCTTCATCGTTTGATTGATGGAATGCCTCCATGCCTCCGTATCTTTGATATGTGCATACTTGCGAGGGAAGTCAGCTTGCTTCGAGCCACTATTCTGATCCCAAGAGACGGACACTGGGAGTGCGTATAAGCCGTTGTTACACAGTCGTTGGATCTCGCTCCCGATGCTGACGGGTCCTAGGGCCTTAGGGTCTTTGGCTGCCCGAGCTCTTGGGATGCTGGCTCCAACCATTGCGAGCGTGGCCATGGTGTCTGTACTCTAGTGAGGAAAAAATTGGGCCGATTGAAATGCGCCCGAATTGAATCTGCGTTCTCGTACCATTTTTTTTCGAAGCTTCATTGTAGGGCGTCATGGTCCAAAGCACAACAAATTGTTTAATTGACACCAAGACTCATCCATGCCATTGCCGTATTTGTGAAACAAGTCGTGCTTACCAAAAGGAACATCATGTGGAACACGCGCAAACCGTTCGAAGATATTATGGTCGCAATCGGGAAAACATCCTCATGCAAAAAGCATACAAACGCTTGCTTACCGGAACCACAAGAAAGCTCCACAAAGCCACAATTCGACGCTTGATAGACGCCGGGTATGATGTGCCCCGAACGGCTGTCCCCTCAGACATGGGAGTGATTCCAAACGCCCCACCATCCCTTTAAGTGCGTTCACAAGCATC